TTTCATGACATGTTTACATTCAAGCTACCCGTAAAATGTATAGTGAAAAGTACTTTAAAATCGTCTGAAATGCAATAAAGTAATTTTAAAACTGTTTTTAAAACATTTGCTGCATGAATAAAAAAAAATAGGCTAATCAATTATTCACATATCATACAAAATTGCGTTGCAGCAAATCCTTTAAATTTTATGGTATTCAGAACAGAGCAACATAAAAATCAGAAAATATAAGCATCTAGGCTACAGTTATAGGACAAAATTGTACATATATGCCATTATAATTTGTGTTTTATTTTTTAATTGTACGGAATTCTTATACGGAATTATAAAATAAAATGCAAATTATAATCAGGCCTGTTTTAGGCTTTTCCTTATTTTTATATTTTAGACATCCATCAATTATGGTGATGAAAAAAACATTTCTTGCCATCTCCTCGTTGGATGTGCCTTTAGAGAGAAATGCAGGGATTACTGAAAGAGTTTCTATTTTCGATTTGAATTATTTCGTTTTAAAGTAATAATGTAAAGCTTTCTATATAATTTTAATCATGTCTGTGAGGCAATTCGCTGAGTTTAGAGACGGCAGAAAGCGTTTGTTTTCTTTATTTTATAAAAGCACAACGTTTTGTTGATAATGTGAGTGCACACAAATAAAACTAGACCCTTTACAGTTTAGAATGATGTATTACTCTTACCTTTATGAGCAAAAATGACTGCGTATTTTAAGTTGTTTCCACTGTTAGAAAAAAATGCATGTGATGGCGCTGGCGCCTCAATGTGCTGCAGCGCTTCAGCTTCCACTCTCCGCACGAACGATTGGACATGCGTCTAACAGCGCACATTTATCTAGGTTAAACATTTAAACTAACATTGTGATATACTTGAACTGTTTTATATATAGATTTTATTTTAGGCAAGTCCTGATGATTTGAGAAGGCTAAATTGATCAAACATGCTATGATCAATTCACTGTCGCTGGCCGTTATTTAAAAAACAAACAAACAACAACTTACATTTAACGAACAAAAAATGCTCCAAACGTTTTTCTAAATTTACTTTATAAAAAAACGAAACGAAATATAATCACTTTTTCATTACATAAACAACTAAACAATTTTAATAGCTGAAACAGAAGTATAAGCTTTTTTTGGGGGAAAAGGGGAAAAAAGGCCTACATTTGAAACCCGTGGAGGGCTCTAATCCACTTCATCCAAAGCTGTTTTGTTCTCATCTGTGAGCATGCTCTTGATATATGTATTTTACCATTTTGTTGAGTTTAAAACGTGACACATTCGTCCTGCTCTCACTGATCATTTGGTCTCCCCCCCACAACATGAAAGAACGCCATTATAACATGTACATGAAAAATGTAGAAACATTGGACACAACTATGGGGCACCATTGTGCAGCAGCAAGTATCACAACAAAAAAGGAACCTCAAGTTTGATCTAGGAAAATGTGTGCAAATGTATAGGGCCCCATTCCTATATTTTGCCAGGGGCCCCCAATTCACTAAATCCGCCCCTGCATGAACTCCATTGGTTTAGTGAAAGAAATGCCAAATTTGTCAACACCGTCAGATGTCACCACCATAAGATTTTGTGTTCCAGTGATATATCAAAATACTTAAATGTGACTCTTGAATAAAAGCTTTATAAACAATAACATACTCACTGTTTGTTTTAATACAGTAATTGACTGATTCAATGTATTTGATAGTTAAAATGACTACAAATTCAGGTTTTCGTCACCTCCGTCAGTTGAACATTTTGACAATATTTCATTATGATATTTTATATTTGTTGTGGAATTATTGGTCACATGGGAAAGTGTAATCTGTCTGCTAACACAATAATGTGTTTTGAAATGTTAAAAACATCTTGAATGCTGTTAGAGATAAAGCTGCAATTATATTATACACTCCAAGCTAAAAAAAGCACATTTTGTTAAAAAAGAGAAAAGTTGGGAGGTTGTATCAAAGCATAGCTCAGTACATATAAGATACATAAATGTAGTTTCATTTGTCTGAGTACAAGGTTTTATTTTTTCAATTTTGCACCCTGTTTTGTCCCACTTCTCAAAAATGACTGCTTTAACGAGTGTCGCGGTCTTTTCGCCTGATGTCTGATGCTTTGCATAAAATAAACCATTTTATTCATAAAGATACAGAATATAATACTATGGATGTTAAAACATGTCCTCAGAGCTGTTTATTGTTTGTTTATTGGCAGGTTATGGAGTCACAGCATGTTTCAGCTAGAGTGAAACGCAGGGCTGCGGTCCGTTAGCAGTTCCCCGCCGAACACGACTCCAGCTCGGGCACGAGAACCAGTGCCGTTACGGTGGAAACAGAATAACAGAGACTGGTCGATTACACATGAACTACTTCTGTTTAATGGTGATTTTTTTTCTTCTAATGTTTGTTAAACGAGTTTAAAAATAGGCAATATGTAGCCTATTAAAAACTTTATAAATGCTGTAAATGACAGGCTAAACAAAGGAAGTTAACATGCAAACCAGTGGTTGTGTGGATTATTTTAGAAAAGTTTAGAGGATTTACATTAATCTGTAAACATGAAAGTATGAAGTAAAAAATAAGCTAGTAATATAGTAAAAATGAATCAACCCATTATGCTGGGTTAAATAAACAACCCAATTTGCTGGGTAAATTTAACCCAAGATGGGTTCTGTCCTATATTTACCCAACCCTTGGGTTAATAACAACCCAAATTGGGTTGTTTTTAACCCAGTGTTTTTTATTTATTTTTTTTAGTGTAGGGACATTCCTAAAACATCCCCTTTTGATTATGAAAGTGCTGCTGTTCAATGTTCCTTATATGACTTTAGGGGGACGTTCCATTTTGGTTATTTTATGGTCATATAAGAACGTTACAAAGAGGACATTTGGGACATTTGGGACACATGGTCCTCTTTAAGTCATTTAAAAACGTTCCCAATATGACTTTAGGAGGATGTTCTGTATTGGTTATTCTATGGTCACATAGCAACGTTCACATAGCAACGAAAAGTTCACATCCTGAGAATTGGGCCAAAGGGACTGAGAAATTTTAAAATGTCAGCAATGTTCTAAATGTGTTCTTAATTTCTTTAAATGTCTGTTTTGTTTTTCTTTTCAAATAACAAAAAAAGATCAGCAGTATCTGTAAGAGCAGTAATACCTTTAAAACCTTAATATCCATCACTACATAGCACACAAGTTTCGGTTATCAGATGCAAAAATCCCTTTTATATGTTGTTTGAAAATAAATGCGTGTTGGCAGTGTGAACCTTAAGGTGTCCTTTCTGTGTAAATGTCTTTCCACACTCAGAGCAGCTGAAAGGCTTTATTCCAGCATGAATTAGCATGTGATTCCTCAGGATTCCTTTACATATAAAACTCTTTCCACACTGAGGGCAGGTAAAAGGCTTAACTCCAGTATGAATTAACATGTGAGTCTCAAGGTATCCTTTACGTGTGAAACTCTTTCCACACTGAGAGCAGCTGAAAGGCTTTTCTGAATTGTGAGTTACCAAATGATGATAAAGGTGTCCTTTCTGTGTGAAACTCTTTCCACACTGAGAGCAGCTGAAAGGCTTTATCCCAGTATGAATTAGCATGTGCTTCTTAAGGTTTGCTTTACGTGTGAAAGTGTTTCCACACTCAGAGCAGCTGAAAGGCTTTTCTGAAGTGTGAGTTACCAAATGATTCTTAAGGTGTACTTTTTGTGTAAAACTCTTTCCACACTGAGAGCAGGTAAAAGGCTTTATTCCAGCATGAATTAACATGTGCTCCTTAAGATTTTTGTTACACGTGAAAGTGTTTCCGCACTGAAAACAGATGAAAGGCTTTTTCCCACTATGAATTCTCATGTGTTTCATAAGGCTTCCTTTCTGTTTCAAAGTCTTTGCAGACTGAGAGCAGGTAAAAGGCGTTATTCCTGCATGAATTAACATGTGATCCTTAAGGCTTCGGTTACACATGAAAGTGTTTCCACACTGAGAGCAGCTGAAAGGCTTTTCCTCACTATGAATTCTCATGTGTTTCGTAAGGCTTCTTTTATGTTTATAAGTGTTTCCACACTGAGAGCAGCTGAAAGGCCTTTTGACGTCTGTTATTTGAATGCTGCAACTCGCTGATTTTTCTCCATTGATATCATGATCTTTCTGATCCTGATGTTTCTCCTCCACTTCATTCCGATCTTGTCTTTCCTCTTTTACTTTCATCAGGCCTAAAATTAAATCATTTAAAAGATGAAAATCAATTGGGACATTTGGAAAATACAAGGAAAACATTTGTGTACAGACGGAAACATTTTCAAAACTGTCCCTGTTCATACAGATCCATGAAAATGACTAAAAACACTGTAATATGCTGCCAGGCCAGTAGTTGGCGATGTAGTTTTGTAAAGCAGGGATCTTGATTAGCTGTTTCAGGTGTGTTTGATTGGGGTTGGAGCTGAGATCTACAGAAAAGTAGCTCTCCAGGTGCAGGGCTGGAGACCCCAATTTTTAAATAAACAGTAAAGCACCTGTAGACTCAACACATAATACACTTGCACATGATGTTACCGTTTTAACAAATGGGGATCCCTTTCACAATGCTGTTGTCTGTATGCGAAACTTTAAAAAAAAAAAATATATATTTTTAGAATATTATCATGTAAATGTACCCTTTGATGTATTGTGAAAAGTATTTGTCTAATCTACATTATTTTACAGCTGTCTACATGGAATCTGCAGATCCCACAAGCATCCTTTCTATTATAAATTGCAGTCTGACTAGTGGCTGTGTTCCTTTAAGTTAAGCATGTTGTCCAGCCCCTTCTTAAAAAGCCTGGTCTAAGCTACAGTCTTATCCAAAATTTTAGAAAAGATTGTTTTAGTCAGCTTAGGCTGGCTGCACACTTAAGACGATTTTCAAATCTTAACTGATCTTAAAACCATGGGAGACCACAGACATGAAGACAGTTTCAACCGATTTTTAGCCTTATAATCCTCCGAACGTGCACACTAGATGATTCGACCAGACTGCAAGACCGGATTGTAGGGACGATTTCACAATGTGGCTCCTACTAGCGTGAAAACAAATTCAGTCTCACAGTCTCAGTAAAACTAAAGTCTAATAATTAAATCTGCTCGGTGTCAGTTCAATTACATTTCCATTGAAACATGGATTTAAGACCTTTTAATGACAGTTAAAGGTCTTATTTTTACATAAACAGTCATTAAAGATGAATAAAGAATAAACACCAACCTCCTTGTTCCTCGTGTGTTATTCTCCAGGTTTCTGGTTCCTCGTGTTTTATCCTCCGGGGTTCTGGTTCCTCCTGTTTTATTCTCCGGGGTTCTGGTTCCTCCCGTTTTATTCTCCGGGGTTCTGGTTCCTCCCGTTTTATTCTCCGGGGTTCTGGTTCCTCCCGTTTTATTCTCCGGGGTTCTGGTTCCTCCCGTTTTATTCTCCGGGGTTCTGGTTCCTCCCGTTTTATTCTCCGGGGTTCTGGTTCCTCCCGTTTTATTCTCCGGGGTTCTGGTTCCTCCCGTTTTATTCTCCGGGGTTCTGGTTCCTCCCGTTTTATTCTCCGGGGTTCTGGTTCCTCGTGTTTTATTCTCCGGGTTTCTGGTTCCTCGTGTTTTATTGTCCAGGTTTCTGGTTCACTCTTGTTCTCTTCACTCTCCTCTTTAACAAACGCCATCTTCACAGCAGCAGATCTCAGTTCAGATGATACTCCTCCAGATATTCCTGCTTGCTTCAAAACGTAGTCACGACTGTGAGGATGAGAATATTACAGGTATTTATTGACCTGATTCAAAAACTGTATTTCTCTATTTTACAGAAACCGCATTTCTAACAGTTTGTATTAAAACAGCATCAAGACATAACAACAGAGAGCGCAGTGAAACTAATCTTCTTCCTCTGAGGTTTAATGGTGTTTGGTGAACAAACGTATGTGTTTAGCGCCACCCGCTGGACTGGAGTGTGAAGCGGCGAGAGGAGGAAAATAAATTGCGTCTGAAAAAAAGCCGATCTGAACAAATAAATTAAAGTAACTTAAAAGTATAGACTCGCATGGCATTCCATCAACACCAACAGTCTTCGTGAGTGAGAATTAGAAGAGAAAATTAGAGAAGTCAGGCTTTAGGTAAAGAAGTTAGGTAAAACAAGTTTACCTAATACAAAAATGGCCATTCCACCGAATGGTTGCTATTTTCTTCCAAAACTCTTCCCCAAAAAATAAAAAAATAAAATCTTATTAAATATATCTTACTATTATCCTATAAAAAAATGCAAGTTTCAATGCAAAAATATGTCTCCAAATTCCTTAATTTTCCCCTCAGGCAGGTGTTTATTTGAAAGAAACTTGGTTTCATGGTCAAAAAAAAAAAGTTTATCATTAAAAAAAAAAATCACTATTTATATACACAAGGTGTTTTTTTCTAAAATACTCAAACCCATTTTTTTTTAAAGGCGACTCAAACCTCAAGCTTATTAATTTTCTATGATGCAATTTATTAAAGGGGTCATATGATGCTTTTTTAAAGATCATTATTTTGTGTATTTGGTGTAACAGTATATGTTGACATGCTTTAATGTTCAAAAAAACATTATTTTTCAAATACTGTACATTATTGTAGGTCCTCTATGCCCCGCCCAAAGTCCCTCCTTCCGACAAGCGCAGTCTGCTCTGATTGGCCAACTGACCCAGTGCATTGTTTTTTTGTTTTTTTTTC